GTCAGCAGTTGAAGGGTGGAAGTCCAGGGAGAGGAGGACTTCTTTCACCTTGTTGTGCCATTCGCGAGGGGCTTGCTTAAGGCCGTAGACGGGGCGATTCAGCTTCCAGACAGTGTTGGGAGGGAATTCTCCTGGGAAGCCTTCTGGTCTGTCCATGAACACTGTCTCCTTGAGACGTCCTTGTAGGAAGGCGGATGAGGCATCCATGGATTTGATCTCAAAGTCTTCTCGAGCTGCGACATCCATGAGCGTACGAATGGTGGGAGGTTTGGATGTGGGGGAGAAGGTTAGGAAGAAGTCGCGGTACTGCTGCTGGGTGAAGCCCTTGGCTACGTAGCGCGCTTTAAACACCGGTGCCTCGTCTGGGAGCTGTTTTACACGGAACAACCACTTGCCCCCGACGATGTTGACTCCTGGAGGTGGAGTCTCGTCGTCGAAGGAGTGGTTGCGGGTGAATGCTGCAATCTCCGCGTCCATGGCAGCACGCCATTTGGCAGAATGAGGGCCTGAGAGAGCCTCTTGGACGGTGAGAGGGATAGGGATGGTCGGGTTCTCCGCGAAGTTGAGGGAGGGTGAGCCAGTGATGTCGGGGAAGATGTGTGAGAGCTGAGGAAGGACTGCATGGAGATCACACAGTTCCTCATGCCTGTCTTCTAGAAGGGTAGAGGGCACATCCCCCCCAGCAGGAGGAGGCGGTGTGATCGCGGTGTATCGAAGAACCATCGCGAGTGGAAGAGTAGCGCGATGTGAGCGAGTGCCATGAGCCACCGGGGAAGAGGGTGGGGCTGGCGGGGTCGGAGAGGGTGACTTAGCAGGCTTGGGCGGGGGAAGGGGTCGCCGGCGGTACGTGATCAGCTCGGGCGACTGTGGGAGAGCGGGTTCCTCTGTGGTGGGGGGAGCCGGGGGAGGAGGTGGGGCCGGAGGGTGGGACCGCCGATGGTAGGTGATAGGTGCGCTCGGAGGGGGCGGCGCAGCGGGAAGTGGGGAAGGTGAGGGGGAGGGAGGAGCAGCTGCCGAAGACACCGGTGAGGCCGGGTCAGTGACCTCAGAGGGAGATGGTGCGATGGCAGGAGAGGGAGGAGGTGAGGGAGCAGGAGCAGGCGGGAGGTCGGGAGGCGCATCAAAGTCTGCCCACACGAGGGAGGGTGGATCAGGGAGAGGGTCCCGTCCCGAAGGGGAGTAGAATGGGCGGGTCTCATCAAAGACAACGTCACGGCTCCTGACCAACTGGTGAGTGGAGGGATTGAGGAAGAGGTAGTCAGGTGAGTCGGCGTTGTGCCCGAGGTAGATGCACGTCTGAGTCTTGGGACCGAGCTTGCCACCGTTATGCCGTCGAGCCTGAGGGTTGAGGAGGACATAGGCGGTGCATCCCCAAACGCGAAGAGAGCGAGCAGTGGGCGTTTTCCCGAGCCAGAGTGTGGTTGGAGTGGTGTCGGGAAGGTGCGGGTGGGGGTAAAGGTTGTAGAGGAGGGCAGCGTGGTAGAGAGCGTACCCCCAAGGAGTGAGGAGCGTTGGAGTGGCTGAGGAGGCACCGAGTGATCTGCACCAGGGTGTGGTTGCGGCTCTCAGCTATGCCGTTCTGTTGAGGGCTGTCAGGGAGGGTGAAGTTTTGCTGGATGCCTTCGGAGGAGCAGAAGGCTTTGAGCTTGTCGTTGCAGAACTCACCCCCCCCATCCGAGTGAAGGCGCTTGACCTTGCGGTCAAAAGTGGTCTGTGCCTGCTTGACCCACGCTATGATGACCTCGGGTGCCTCAGCCTTAGTGTGGAGGAGGTGAACAGAGACATAGCGGGAGTGGTCATCCACAATGATAAGGAAGTAGCGATAGCCACCTCGTGCGAGAACAGGGGCAGGGCCCCAGACGTCCATGTGCACGAGGTCCAGTGGTGCTGCAGCGATTGTGGGTGAGGCAGGATGGGGCTGTTGGCGCAGTTTGCTCTTGGTGCAATCAAGGCACGTGGGAGCTGGTGAGTCAGGTGGTGGAGGAAGTGCGGCTGGCAGGCCGAGGAGAAGTTTCTTGGAGGCCATGTCAGCAAGAGTGCGGAAATTTGGGTGCCCGAGCCGATGGTGGTAGAGGATGGTCGGGTTGGAGAGGGTGCGACATGAGCATGGTGTGATAGTGGCCTGTGCTTGGGTGGTTGACACCTGTGGGAGAGGGACGCGTAGCGTGTAGAGGCCGTTGCTGTTGAGGGTGTAGCGGGCCAGAGTTTTGTTGGTGCGTGGATCGATGATGTCGCAATAGTCCTCGTTCTCTGGGAAGATGGTGCGTAGCCCTGCCTCCTGAATTTCTGTTTGGGCAACTAGATTGTGACGCAGTGAAGGCACGCACATGCCAGTGACAGTGCCGGATGGGAAGGCGGGGCATGGGACTGTGGAGGTACCCTTGGCGAGGGTGGTGAAGCTTGAGTCAGCTCCTAAGAGAGGGATAGGTGTTGGGTAAGGTTTGAAGGAGAGGGTCTCCTTGAGCACGGTGTGAGTGGCCCCGCTATCGAGTGTGAACTCTATGTATTGTGGTGCTTGTGATGAGCCGATGTACTGTGAGGTAGCTTCATTAATCATGGCAGTGCCAGGGAACAACAGGTTGATACGCACATCAGCAGGAGCAGCATCACTAGCACTAGTCGAAGCGGGGTCCTGGACCTCAACTAGGTTGGCCTTGCGAGAGCGCATCCAATTCGGCGGCTTCTTGTCCACTCCGTGAATGGCGTACCATTCGTCGTCTTTCTTCTTGAAGCACGTGGCGAGGGGGTGGTTAGTGCCACCACACACTTGTCCCTTGCGATTCCCATACTTGACGACGTAGGGGCACGGAGGAAAGCGGTTGCGCTGGAAGGGCGCCGAGGCGAGAGCCGCTGCGACACTTGCTTGAGGCATGGGAGCGCGGATAGCGTACGCCTTGGCCTGAGCCGTGGAGTCTTTCTCGGCAGAGAGGAGTGCGGTGGAGACCTTAGCAAAGGTGAGGTCCTCTGCTGAGAGTGTGAGGAGCATCTTCCTCGTGACCTCATATGCCGAGGTGAGTCCAACAAGTAGGGCGGCTGCAGGGGCTTGCTCGGGGAAGACTATACCCAGCTCCTTGAGTTCGCCATGAATGGTCTGCACCTTGGCAATGTAATCGGCCATTCCCGAGCAGTCCTCAAGGCGGACCTGAAACATGCTAGGGATGAGAATGGCCACGCCGACCGCCGTCTTGTTCATGAACCGATCCTGGAGGTACTTCCAGATGGCGTTGGAGGTAGGGTAGTTATGGAACGTGTTGACAAGTTCGGGAGGGGTGGAGGCGATGAAGACGCTGATGATGGCAGCATCGGCCTTCTCCCATTTCCGGTACTTCTCAACAGCCTCCTCGTACGCCCTCACGTCAGTATCACTTGAAGATTCGGTCGGCTCACGGGGAATAGTAGGCTGTTTCCCCTTGCCACGGTTGAGGAGGACGTCCTTGAGGTCAAGGCCCTGCACGTCACGGCTCAGGAGGTGCTTGTCAACTCCGTAGCTCCACGCCTTGAAGTTGGAGCTAGAGCCATCAGCTTCAAGGCGGAGCGGGGTGATGGGGTTCGCCATGGTGGAAGACGAGAGAGCCATGGTGGAGACCCCTTCTCGCGCGGAGCGCCGCTCTTAAGTCACCGATAGCGAAATCCGACGGACCGGAATAGCGAAAATCGTCAATGTCGGCCGCGTCGGAATGTCACGTAGAAGGTTTTTTTTTTTTTTTCCGTAGATCTATCACTAATCCCACACACCCCCCACACACCACCCTCGGCTTCGCGACTACGCTGCTGCTCGGCTTCGCGGCTACACGGCTGCTCTGCTTCGCGGCTACGCTGCTGCTCGGCTGCGCTGCTGCACCTGTTCAGCTGCGGGAAGGGGGAAGGGGTAGGAGTGCAGATGCGGGGCGACGGGCGGCAGCCCGACGTGAAGCTGCGGGGCGACGGGCGGCAGCCCGACGAGAAGCTGCGGGGCGACGGGCGGCGGCCCGACGTGAAGCTGCGAGGCGACGGGCGGCGGCCCGACGAGAAGCTGCAGGGCGACGGGCGGCAGCCCGACGAGAAGCTGCAGGGCGACGGGCGGCGGCCCGACGAGGAGGAAAGCGAGCGTTAGGTTATAGCGCGGACGATGCGCTTACCAGAGAAATTTCCGTCGAAAGTGACGGGAAGGTGCAGCGGGAAAATTTCCGCCGACGAATGTCGCGAATCACCGGCGACGAGGTTGACGATGGCTTCGCCGAGGTTTGCGGGACGAGTATCCGCAGAGATAAGAGGATCACGATCCGCGTATGCGGTTGAAGGGCTCTGATACCATGTCAGAAATAGGCTTAGAAGTGATGCATTAGTAATGAGCTTGAAGCTCTTTAAGTACATCCAAGAGGGGTAGGAAAAGGATGGGGAAGGGAATCGGGGGCAATCTCTAGGGATTGGGGGTAATCCCAAGGCAATCTCCAATTGGTGGGTTGGAGATTGGTTGGAGATTACATTTGGGTTTGGTTGGGATGTAGGTGTACACCCAACCAAACACAATGTGCAAACTACACTACTCTAGGATATAGAAAATACAAAGTACAAATTGTGAGATTGAAGACTAACACTAACACCGTCCCCTCTAGGCCCACGTTTACCATCATGCACGAGGACCCCGATGTTTCAGTAGATGGAAAACAATTGTGTGAAACAAACCATGACTTAAGCGTCATGCATACATGCACACGCTTCGTGTTCAGACGATGACATTGCCACGTTATCACGCCTACACATATGGAGAAGACAAGCAAACTGATTTCACATACGTAATGGATAACAAGATAATGGCATCTCCTTCAGCGTATGCATGTGTTTCACCGTGCACTGCACGGCGTGCAGCAAAACTGTCTGTAACGTTCTTATCATGCAAAGGTCTGTCCACCAAGTGTTGAACCTTAGACAAATTTGTGTTGAAACTAATGTACATATAGTACCTTATTCAAGTTGTGGCAAACCATATTGTAGAATCTGTATACGTTAATTTCACCTACCGGGGGGCATGGTGGGTGGTGTGTCAATGCAGTTGGTGACGGGGACAGGAAACCTCTCCCTGCCATTTGAGAGGTCTGCGCACACAACACTGGCGCACACGGATGGTCCCAAACAACAATTGAGTCGATAATTGCGTAGTAATATGTTGCAGCAATATGTTTCCATCCTAAGCCTCCACTCCCAGATGACAAAAGCGCTAAGATTAATGATGCCAAGTACCTTGTGAATGAAATTCAGTACACGTGCACTAGATGCGATGGGTTTGTCCCAAAGAGGGCGTGCACTCACTCTGACGCTCTCCTCACGCTCGTTGGGATCTGACCGTGCATGAAGCGAACCTGAGGCACACACGGGCATGACCGACCCACAAACGTGGTGCGATACCAATTAGTAGGCAGACGTGGACAACAAGACGAAATTGAGGCAAGGTAGACATGAGCAGGTTACTGGATCGGTTCATTGCTATAGCCTGTTTGAACAAACTGGTTCATGATGAACAGTTCTTCCATGGGGCTAGTTTGTGGTCTGCTGGTTTGTGTGGGCGCAAGAGGGCGCAATGAGAGGTGTTTCAGGGGCAAGGGTGGATCCACGGCAGTGAGTACCATGCCGAGGTGGAGGAGAAGGGAGAGGGGGAGGGGAGGAGGAGGAGGAGGAGGAGGATGAGGAGGAGGAGGAGGAGGAGGAGGAGGAGGAGGAGGAGGAGGAGGAGGAGGAGGAGGAGGAGGAGGAGGAGGAGGAGGAGGAGGAGGAGGAGGAGGAGGAGGAGGAGGAGGAGGAGGAGGAGGAGGAGGAGGAGGAGGAGGAGAGAGGCATGTCTGGTGTGGGTGCTGGGTGGGTGCTTGTGGGTGGGAGGAAAGAGGAGGAGGGGAGTGCGGTGCATGGGGTGGCACGGCATAGTGACCCGAGGGCGGATCGGATCGACCCGATCCCTAATCGGGTCGTCCAACTCGCGAAAATAATATACTGTCTGGCTGTTCAGGGATTTCGCCCGCTGATTTGTAAAGTTTGCCATTTTTGCCTTTCAATTATTACATTGACTGAGCAAAGCAAGGCATATCCTCCTCCCCAAAAAAAATGTCGAAACAAAGCCTTCAAACCAATTTGCCGTCGCTTACCACTCATCACCGCACTTAATCGACAAGACCCAACCCCCGCCCATCCTTTTACAGATGTCAACATTGAGCTCAATCAGCCTTAGCGCCCTTCAGCCCAGGCATGAGCAGCCGGCCCAACCCGACCCGACTTGGCCGGGCCAGGCGGCTTTCCGGGTCGGGTCAGGTCGGGTCAGCCCCAAACCAGGATGCTGGAGACCCTGACCCGACCCAGGGGTACAGAGCCGGGTTAAACTTGACCCGACCTCGTATCACGCAGACCCGAGGTCGGGTCAGGTACAGGAAACCCGCTTTCGCCCGGACCGCATTCACGGCTCCAGACTGGCCCAGGCCCGGGCTGACGCAGGCCCCGGCGAGCTTATCCTTACTGTTCGAGTCATCACACCCTTTGAGTTCCATTGAATGTTTTCCATCCAAGTTTACAAACTAACAACCAAGATGCTACAGAGTAGAATGGTTCACACATGCCGTATTCGCCCAAATAGTAGAGCCCCTTCCGAACTAAGACCCTCGGGTCCACAATATGGGGATGAGGCAAGAAATCAGACGACTCCCCATGGAAAGAGGTTTTAAGACCCCCCTCTTGTTTCACTTTATTCCAATGTGTCTCGCCAACAAATTCACACATCTGGGTGGCGGCTTTGTGAGAATATCCGCTCAGAAGGGCGAGCGTCCAGATTAACTGTTTGGAATATTCGGATGTTTTTATGTTGACACATATTTTAAAGTTGCATGGTTTCCAGCATGCCTGCCCCCTTTCCCCCTTCTGATCGGGAATTTCTCCCCTGCCCTGGATTTTTTTGGGCCTGCCCGAGCCAAGCGTATATCCAGCATCCAGGGGCAGACCTTGGAGCGTCCAGCCTATGGGACGCTGACTGGACGCATCCAAGCCCACTTAGCTTAGCGTGGCGGAGCCATGTGCATGATTAATCCAGTGTTCTTAGACCTTTTGTACACAACTCTCTGGACTTTGAAAATAAGAGGGAGATTGATATACGACTTGGGTCTTGTAAAAATATGCCTCAGATTAAGCCTCCCCCCCATTTTCTAGCTATGATGAGAAGGACACGTCCAGCGTCCTGGACGCTAGCGTCCTGGACACCGCATGCCCAACCAGCCGCCTAGTGAATGATAAAAAGACGCTGATGCTGGCAGGCTAAAAGACCTTTCAGGCAAGCAAAAACAGTTTCAGGGGACCGAAGGAGATGGGTTGGGGACATAGTATTTCTCATCTTGGTTTCTTAGGGATGACAGGATTAACTCCCCGGGTCTAGTATCCGGTAAACCGGTTAGATCAATGAAAATATAAACCGGCCACAGAAAATTTCGACTGGACAAGCATCCCTAGAAACAACATAAAGGGTTGTCCACATGGGCGAAAGGGTGGAACCTGGTCAGTCGTGAGAGGCGGCTGGCCGGGGTTGCGAACGAGAAGGAACTTGTAGACAAAGAAGCCTTGCTCGCCACGCACATACTGATGTTGCTTTACCTGTCGTTGCGTTTACAAAGATACAAAAGAAAAGGAAGCATGCAGCAGGCATAAGAACCATATAGTGGTGTTCTAAACGTGAGCTAAAATCAAACCGTAAAAAGGTAAGCCAACCAGCATGATACGAAAACGTGTGAGCCAACTCAAGCACAAGGCAAAGAAAGAGAGTCAGAAGGTGACATGGGCTGGTCCATGTGAACCCAATAGACGCAAGGTGTTGAAATGGGGATGCACGCCGGCCTGGGTCAAACCAGGTTGGGCCAGCCACCGAGTAAGGCCAAATTTAAACCAGCACGGTTGACGTTGTTTCCCAACTGGCCATACCTTGGCACAATCTTGCAGTCAAATTGACTCCACTCAAGTGGTTCGTTGCTGGCGGATTCAAGTTTGGTCCGTCCTCCAAATTAGGCTTGAGCAAGGAGTACACCTGTTCGGTTCGCCTCGAACACATTCCGGCGAACCGAACAAGATTTTCTTTTTTGGCTAAAATTGTTCGTGGCGAACGTGTTCGATGTTCGCCCGAACACGTTCTGTGTTCGCCTCGTTACTACTACCGAGCTGCGTCGAACACTAATGTGTTTGTCGACGAATTGTCCCGCGACCATTTTTTAGGTCGCGGGACTTTATGTTTGAGCTCATATTTTTAGCAACCTGACATTTTGCCATCTTATATGCGCGGACCTAACATTTCGCCGTCAGATATGCTCGGAGCTGACATTTCTTCGTCGGATATGCGCGGATCTGACATTCCGCCGTCAAATATGTGCGGATCTGACATTCCGCCATCACAAATGCGCGTATCTGACATTTTGCCATCAGATATGCGCGGATCTGACATTCCGCCGTCACATATGCGCGGATCTGACATTCCGCCGTCAGACCAAATGGCAGGAGGAGGGGGGGGGGGGGGAGGGGGGCAAATTAAATGTCTACCATGTGTGACTACAATGAATGTAGTCCTGGGGCGAACACGAACATGTTTGCCACGAACACATTTGTGTTCGCCTCCGACACCAAGGTGTTTGCCTTCACAGGCGAACGGCGAACACCTTTTTTTGCAAAAGGTGTTCGGCGAACCGAACGGCGGTGTTCGTGCAAGGGCGAACGCGAACACGTTCGTGTTCGCCTCTTGCTCAACCCTACTCCAAATGTTTTCCAAACGGTTGACTGGTAAACACTATTTTATTGCTTAACTACTATCAGCTCGAGCAATAATACACTTATTCAAGCCTTTCAGAATGAACTTGCTTGAGTTCATTTTGACTAAGGGCATATTTCAGTCAGTGTCAAGAATACTGTTTGTGTCATTCGAGATTTTTGGAACTCAGGCATTTCAAATGCAAAATATCCAAAGGTGCCTAAAATCGGCCTAGATTCATGGTTCCGAAAATCTCGGATGACACAAACAGTATGCTTGACACGAATTGAAATACGCCCTATTCGAACCGTGTAAGCGGGTTCGATCAAAATGGGTTGGGTTCGATTCATGCTCATGCTACAATCAGCCAAGCATTTATGGGAGGACAACATCCTTTGAAGCCACTTGTGTTATCTTGTGAGTCTGGATGGTTGCAAGCAAGGTGGTAGTTGTTTGGGTGTTAGCAACTGTCGTCTCTAGTTTAAGAAGAATACCACCCTTTCTCCTATTTGTTAGATGCTTTGCCTGCCATTTGTTCGGGAATGACAAGCTGATGACATTCCACGGTGTTGATACATGACCAGCACATGTCTCTTGCTCATTTAAACCCATAAGCAAGCATATAAGCTCTCGAAACAGACCCACCTTGTAAAGCCCATCGTATGTGAAAGCCCGTCCAGTGTCAGACTTCTTGCATTTGTGCCCTCGAATGACTCGCACATCGTTCTTCACCTTAATGCTATTCTGAAACCTCGGGAAAGACACATATTTGGAGAAAGAAACGTGGAACACAGCTCAAGACAAAGACACGACCTAAACAAACATGTAAACATGTCTATATATATGCAGGTTGTTTTATAACCTCTTCACTTTCAAAACCAAAAGGTAACACCTCACCACCTAGTTAAATTATACATGTGTAGCGAGGTGAGCTTCTCGGCTCAGCTCGTACAGTGGATTTGTGAAAGATGAGTGACGAGTTTGGATTCTGGCATAGATAACTCGCCGAGCACCCGTTAGTTCGACGAGCCTCTCTTGAACTCGCACGAGCTTTTTTCACTCGTCGGCCGCGGAGCGACGAGTCGGCCACCATTCCACGCAGATAGGTGATTTCGGCCATCAATCCGCAAAATTCGGCGATTTTGTCCAATAATCCGCGGAGATCGGCAGATCGCTTTTCGATCCGCACGGATTGGCGATTTTGTCCAACAATACATAGATAGGCGCGCCGTGCAGATGTCTGCCGACGTGATGCCACTGGGGATTTCACTACGCTTATATCTTGCTTTTGGTCGAGCAAGACCAAGATGCCTCGCCCAAAAAATTTGCCACTTGAGTTTTTCAACCAATTTGCCACCAGTTAGACATGAGCAAAAATTCGAACCCCTGTTTGGTTCAACTCGAACATGTTCGAGTTGAACGAACACTTGTTTTTTTTTTTTTTTTTTGCAAAAAGTGTTCGGCCGAACATCTAAGTGTTCGGGGCGAACATGTTCGAGTGTTCCAAATTCTATTGTCCAGGGACGTCGAACATCAAACATGTTTGCGTGTTCGACGAGTCTAGGTCGCGATCAAATCTTAACGACACTGGAAGGGGAGGGGTTTGAGGAGCAGGGCCTGGAGAGGGTGTGGGGGGGTTTGGGGGGCTGTGGAGGCGAAAAGGGGCTTTAGAGGGGGGAAGAGGGCTGCTCGAACCGAACACGTTCATGTTCGGGGACAACAATTATATGTTCGCCCCCATCGGCGAATATTGAACACCATTATTTGGAAAAAGTGTTCGAGTCGAAACGAACATGTTCGGGTCGAGTTGGAGGGGTGTTTGAAAGTGTACGAAAGGAACACGTTTGAATTCGACCGTTGCTCATGTCTACCACTGTGCACTGTCACATTGAGGCATACAATCAATGTGGCCGCCATCAAATTCTGATGGAGAACAAAAGAGAGCGACCCGGTTCTGGTTTGAGTCATACCGCTCCGGTTCAGTTAGACAATAGGCCATTGAGGCACGTCGAACTGGTGCGGTATGTCACAACTTCAGTTGCTGGAAGTTGAAACTCATTTTCTAGCTCTACCTTTCTTCACAAACTAATTGAACATCCCTCCCAAGCATTGCGGGATTCTTGAATCTGGAATTCCGCGGCCAAACCTGCATCGTTCCCGAAGAAAGGAAGAAAATGATGTCATAAAATTTGTGATTACAACAAAGGCTCACTCAAGTCGAACCGGACCGGACATGTTTGGGTCGCACCACACCACAGGCAGTTTGACGCAATTTCTAGGGATTGCAGATTGGCAACATGAGATCACACCACGAGTTTTTTTACCTAGACAAAACTGGTCCAGTTTGGACATTGGGTTCGACAATTTACCCGGTTGGACCTGGACCCGATTGGGTTCGGAACTTGCTCGTGCCTACTCCATGAGGCTACAAGATAGGCTTCATTAGACCACATGGCAATTGCAGCATCATCTGTTGATGTATGTGATAGACATGAGCAATGAACCGAGATTGGGCTCGGTTGATTCAATTCGAACAGGCCCAGAAGTTAGCGGCAGACCACCAAATGTTTGGGCAAACAATACGTCCGAACTTTTGAGGTTCGCTCGCGCCGCGTCGAAACCGAACGGTTCGAAGCATTAAAGAGGTTTGTCGCGACCAGCAAATATCTCGCATGCCATGCAGTGTAATTTCAATCGACAAAACTGGCCTAGGGTTGGGGTTGGACGCCGATTGACATGGCAGATCCACACATAGGTTACTTTAAGCTAGTTTCTTGCATCTTACGGTAGACTCTAAGAGCTGTTTTAGGTAGACTCAGCAGCAGTCCGTTTAAGTCTTTAATTAAGAAGATGTTAGCTCAGCATCTTCCAGTTTAGTGCACACATGGCGACATCGGGCGCGGCTGGGGATGGAACCATGAGAAAGGGGCCTACCTTCGGTGGGGCACCGGATGCTCCCAGTATAACGCAAGCCACCGGTGTTCTTTTAATCTCTTGACTTGTAACTTTTCTTGCTGTTTTACTGTTTTTCCATGCTTGTGTGCACTTTTCCGTACCCCTCAACCCCGCACAACATGTTTATGGAAAAGGGGGAAAAGACCTGTCTTGATTTTCGTATCACTATTATGTACTTCTCCGGCGACCGGACTAAGTTCGAGTTCGCTCAAACCTTGCAAAGTTCGACCGAACTAAAGAAGATCAGCTAATTAAAGGCAACATCGACCTTAGCCAGGCAAAACAATGTTTAGCCGAACCAAAAACGTTTGTAGTAGTTTGGGCCAAGCACGTTCTGTTCGTGCTCATGTCTACGTGGGAGTTTCTAAAGCACACCATGAGAGCCAGGTTTCCAGCTCGCAGAACTTGGTTGGCCACTTGCTTCCGTGTGCCCAGAAGGTCGTTGCCACCTTGCCCAGTGTACCAAATGCGGCTCGCCTCGTCCTCGTCGTCCTCGTATCCTCCAGAGACCACCACAGCCACCGCGATGGACTTGTCATACGGGCTCTCCTGTTGGACAAAATCAATGATTGCATCGCAAGGGATGTAACACCATACAGGATGTTAAGCATGCCGCATGAGCATGATATTGAACAAAGGTTTGGTTTACTCGGGCCTCTAATATTGTGATGCAGAAAGCTAGACATGTAGGGCATTCGACAGGAATTGTAGCTCTATTTGTGGTCAAATCCGTGTGGATGGGAGATCAAAGATGCCGGCTAGGTTATTTTGCATTCTTGCAAACTCTTACAAACCTGCTTGAGCATTGACCCGACCCGACCCGACCCGACCTGACCCATTTTGCTCGACGTGAAGCGGGTACGGGTCGAGTCAGGTTGACCTGACCACGCGCACGGACCTGGGGGAAGCCGAACTGACCTGGGCTTATGAGGCGGTCAGCTGTGACTAGGGTTGAGCAAAGGGCGAACACGAGCTTGCTCATGTCCGGGGCACCAAACATGTTTGTGTTCGGCCGAACACCACCAACTCATGTACAGGCGAACACTAAGATGTTCGGAGCGAACATGTCCAAGTTTGATTATAACGCTCATTTCGTCACACTCACACAGCATTCCCATGTGAACATTGCACGTCTATTGGAAAAATGGGTGTTGTTGACATTTGTTGAGTAGCCAAAAGAACCGAATTGAGTAAAACTCAAATTGTGGCACAATTCTTCCCCTCACTGCCCATTCAGTCCCGCCACCTGCTTCATCCATACATCCATGCCACTGCCAGGACGTGATGGCAGATCCGCGCGGATATGACAACAAAAACATTGCGAACCGGTACTTGTCAGAGTGAAATAAATTGAAGTGTCGAGGATCGATAGAGGTATGGGTAGGTGGCAGATTTAGGCAAGCGAGAGGTTGAACTTAACGAGCTCGATTTATCTGATCGACCCAGTCAAATTTGCTGCCTTGGGCCTCAGGTCTCGGGATGAACGAGACAAACAGAAATATGTTCATCGCATCTAATGTTGAACATAAACATGTTTGTATCGACGCGGCTCGGCTCCCCGCGACCAACCGAACACAATACAATATGTTCGGGCAAACTCGAACATGTTGGACCTGAACATAATTGGCAGTTTTGTGTGCCTGTTCCGTTCGCCTCGTCCTTTTGCTTAAGCCTAGCTATGGCCCAAGGCAGGTCAGGTCGACTTGATGGCGAGCGACTAAGGTTGACCGACCGCCAATTTTGCGTCGAATGTGCAAGATTGGTGATTTTTTGTGATTTTTTTGTAAATCGCTCGCCCATCTGCGCGGATCAGCGGATTTCGACTGCCATCTAAACGATTTGTTGGTTTTGACCACGTGGATCCGCGAAGATCGAAGCACTTGAACCCCAATCTGCATTAACCGGCCACCTTCGCAGCTGATCCGTGCAACTGATGGGGTCTCGGGTCGACCCGACCCGGCCAGGTATACCAGGCCCGACACGGCCAGGTCGCCATTTGGAAAACGCCCGCCCAACCTATGCAAAAACCCTAGTCCGGCGGGGTCGACCTGACCCGGCCGGGCACTTTGCACATCCCTGGTTATGGGCATCTCTTGCTGCGTTTTCGACTGGCTATGCCTGACACATGCTAGCATGATGGAGCGGTGCTTACGGCTTGAGGAATGATGTCAATGCCGTTGAGCCAATGTCTGTGCAAGCCCACCGCAACCATTTCGGCTCGAGCAAAGAAGCGATCGCCCACACGCACACCTGCACAACAACGTAGGGACATCGGGATTGAACAGAGGTGCCACCTCTCCTTGCTTGTTTGATGATACGGTTTTGCATAAGTATGCACTTCATATTAAGAAATTCTAGAGTAAAGCAAAAGGTCGAACCTCGGTTTCAACTCGAATTGAATTGAGCCAAACCAAACCTGTCTCAACTCGAATTGATCAACCTGTTCGTCACGAACATGTTCGTCCCAAACCAAGTCCTAGTTTGGTAATATGCTTATGTCTACTCCCGAAGGAACAAGTTAAGGATCGACCCATGCTCGCTTGAATTTTATGCTTGGATAGCTCTCTTCCTCGGAACGAAACAGCGAGCATCACACTTCTTATAAATGAACATGTGGTGAGCCAAGCTGATTTGGGACGAGCCAAGACGAACGCTGGGCAGAGGGATGAGCAGAGGGCTAACTCGAACATGTTTGGGTTCGCCCCCTTTCGAACATCGCGAACTACCGAACCGAACAGTGTTCGGTTCGGCGAACGATTTGGGCGGAAACAGGTGTTGGGCGTTCGCCCTTGGGGGCGAACGAATTTTTGCAGCAGGCGAACTCGAACATGTTCGAGTCGAACATGTTCGAGTTCGCCAATGGGCAAATTCGCTATAGTCACAGAGGTCAGAAAGGGGATTTGAAGGGTCAGGATGATAGAAAGGGGTTTGCACGGTGTATAAGTGTTCATGCAACGCACCCAGAACTACAACACCATTATGTGTACCACGATCCTAAACATGTTCCCTCCTACTTGTGGGTGTAGGAAATGCCCGTCCCTACAACTAGAGCTTTGACCGCTTGGTGCTTGATCCCTACGCTACTCTATCATAAGGTTTACGAAAACACCCTATACTACGGACTCACATAGATGAAATGTCTGTGTAGATGTTTAGGAACGGTGTGCGAGGCTATTAAAAGCGTGGGGCTATGGCGGTTGTGTGTGTGGTGGCTAAGCGCTAAAGGCGTTTTGAGTTTGAGCTCACGAAATGAGCTCAAACTCAAAACGGCTGCGACCTAAATTTGGTCGCGGCCAATTTTGACGCGAACACCACTTTGGTGTTCGCGGGGCCCCCAATTCGAACACGAACGCGTTCGTGTTCGAATACCCCTCGCCAGAAGGCATTGGCGAACGGCGAACATGTTCGGCCGAACACCGAATATGTTCGCCCCGAACGATTTGGGCAAAAAAAATTGCCTGTTCGGTTCGCCTCGAACATGTTCGAGACGAACCGAACAGGCGTTCGGGAATTTGCTCAACCCTAGCCTGGGCCTACTCTGGCGGCCCGGCCTTGCGAGCAGCTCGTGTGTCGTGTCGTTGCGAAAGAGCTGCGGACTTATTTAGGCGGCATGCACCGCAGTGCCGAGCATTCAACGTTCAGAAAATCGCGAAGGCTAAAAATTGTCGAGCTGCAGCACTAAGACCTCAATCGCCGTAACGGACACTCAGGCATTGGAGTGTCTGACGTCCGAGCGATCGCCCTTGGACGCTGGATACGGAGCGCAGTGTTGGACGCTGGATGCTTCCCATTTTGTTTTGGGGCATCCCGTTAGGAAAACGCACAATTTGGCCAAATGCGATTTCGTGATTACCAGCGCGTGAAACTGCCCGCCAAACAGCACCTAATAGAAAAACCTCGTCCCTCTCTTTGCCAAACCCAAACCATTCACTGATTACCGCATCGAGTCTATGAAACCCAAGCAGCACCAACCAATTTAGATATGAAGACAAGAAACAGCACGGCATTACCTCACACTTATTCAAGTCGGCTTCTCCTTTTACAACAAACCCTACAATACGCCCATTACCCCACCCATACGCCCTGCTAGTTGACCTGAAATTCCACTACACTGTCACCTTCGCTAATACGTGCTGCATGTCCCCGTTTTTTCCCCCATTCTATCCCTTCCCCCTCCCCCTCCCCTCCAACCCCCACCATCCCCTCTCCCCTTCTTTTCTTACGTGAACCGATGTGTCTACATAGACTGAGACATTCTAACAATATGCGAAACTCAGAAAGGCGATGAAGCAAGCAGCAGGGAAGGAGTGCAAAGGCAGCATACCTGGAACGGGCCCAACAATTCTCGTCTTCTGCAGCAACCCCTTTTCCAGCATCTGCCAAGCAAGCACACAGATAATGCAAGCGCCGGTTGGGCACTGCCTTGAGGAGCACGCTGGCCTATTCTCATCTCATCTCACTTGCACTATCACATTGGTGTGTGCTCTCATGAAATTGCTTGCCCATTACGAGTAACACTTCCGATGAGCACTCACCTTGGCAACTCTATCAATGTGTGTGTTCCATCTACAACAGCAGCAGTCTGGTCCATGTGGTGTAGCACAATTAAATAAAAAGCAAATAGCAACAAACACGAGTGCAGCCAGTCATTCAAAACATACGATCCCAGCACTCAAACAAGACCTCTTGTTGCAGCAGCAGCCACTGCACTTACCACTTTGAGGGCAACAAGGTCGGGGCGCTTGCTGGGAACCCGCATGTCCTTGGCCTTCCCCTTGAGCTTGCTCTTGGGTATCGGCTCGTCGTTGGGCCCATCAACCCCAGCCGCTTGCGCTCCTTGGTCACACGCTCGTCCTCCGTCTGCCATGCACGGTGTGCGGGCAAAAAGTCGTCCAAATCAGCCGGGGAACAAAAGCAGCAGGACAGAGGAGAAGCAGGGAGCAGAAGCAGCAAGGCATAGAAGCAGCAAGTTAGAGAAGCAGCATGCTAGACTAAAGATCGTCCAAAGGCTCTTAGAAGGCTTTAAACGGTTCGTAACCAGCTATTCTCCACAGGCACACAGACAACGTATCAAAGAGCGGAAGAGCACCGTGATGGCACTCTCACATTGACAACTCACCTTCATGCCCCTCCCACCTCACCCTCATGCCCCTCCCACCTCACCCTCATGCCCCTCCCACCTCACCCTCATGCCCCTCCCACCTCACCCTCATGCCCCTCCCACCTCACCCTCATGCCCCTCCCACCTCACCCTCATGCCCCTCCCACCTCACCCTCATGCCCCTCCCACCTCACCCTCATGCCCCTCCCACCTCACCCTCATGCCCCTCCCACCTCACCCTCATGCCCCTCCCACCTCACCCTCATGCCCCTCCCACCTCACCCTCATGCCCCGTGCACCGCACCTTGATGGCCCGCCGGTTGAACAGGCTGTACAGCTTTAGCATGTGCTTCACTCGGGCCACCGCCTTCTCGTCGTCCTCATCCCCCTCCCTGTGCTCCTCGTCCCCCTCCTTGTCGTCATCGCCTTCCTCTTGCGTCCCATCTTCCCCATCCATCTCCCCATCGTCCTCGTTGCCCTCATCCCTTTCTTTGTGCTCCGCCACCTGCTTTCCATCCTCCTCTTCCATCTCCTGATCTTCCTCGCTACCAGCGTCCTCATCCTCCTCCCCAGCATCTGACCCATCGCTGCTACCTCCTCTGCTCCGGCGCTTCTCACTCACGCTCCTCCGCTTCTTCCCCTTCCCCCATGCCAACTTCGGTGCACCCTTCCGCTTCCGCCCCCTGGCAGCACCGCCTCCCCTGCCACGACTCTGCACACGCACGCCACTCCCATTCCCCACACCGACCGCATCAACGCAACCAAGTGCCAGGATCAGCCCTTCCTTCGCTGCCCTCTCCTTCCCTGCAGCCCCTCCCATCCCAACCACAGCATCGGACCCAACCGTTCTGCATCTCCGAGTGTACCTGGTGCTCAGCACGTGCTCCTGCTTCCCCCCCCTTTCACTCTCATCTGTGCCATGGCTCCCCCAGTCCTCACTGCTGGAGGGGTCCGTGCCACTGCTGCCCCTGCTGCCGGCGCCACTGCTGCCGCCACTACTGCTGCCGCCACTGCTGCCGGCGCCACTGCTGCCACTGCAGCTGCTGGCGGTGCTGCTAGCGCCCGCTTGGCGTCGCGTGTACTGCACTTGCTGCTGCTGCTGCTGCTGCTTCCCCTGGCCCCTCGCCTGCCGCTGCTCGCCGCCTGCCATGGGCTGCTGCGTGGCGCGGATGGAGGAGGAGTTTGGGGTGGGCCCCTGCGTGGTGGCAAAATGGAGTCCAAGGGACGGGAAGAGACAGAGGGGAGGACAAGCTGTATTGAGGCGCTGTAGTGAGGAAGGCACGACAAACGACAAGCACTGTGACTGCGTAAGGACTTTCTGGTGAGCGTGGAGCGAACACCAGACATGTTCGAAATGCCCTGCACGAACATGTGAAGGTTCCGGTTCGCCCGAACAGTTTTTGGTGATAAGGGGTGTTCGAGGTTTGTGATAGGGGGCGAACATCTGCATGTTCGGGGCGAACCCCCCCATATTCGGGTTCGAGTGTGTGTTTTCAGTGGGCCAGCTTCTCCCCTGTCGCCTCCCCACCCTCCTCCTCCGAGACACCCACCAAATCCGCGACCATCTAACATGTTCGGCCGAACATCAAATATGTTCCGCCGAACATTTTTTGGCCCCCCAAAAGAGGCATGTTCGATTCGTCTCGAACATGTTCGAGCTGAACCGAACAAGTGTTCGCCCTTGTGCTCATGTCTAACGTGGAGCATTCAGCTATTTAGAATAACAAAAAACTGGCAACATCAGCGAACTGCCAGCCAGAGACTGTAATCCCCGCAACAACCACCACTATGCCCAACATGTGTGGAGGCCGAACCAACATGTTTGGTTCACTATAGTCACATTCGAGGCGGGCGCAAAAATCACTTCCCGGCCGTTGCATCGCCGCCTCAACACTAACGTCTAGGGTTGAGAATGCTGGCTACAGGATGCTTGGGTTGGAGAAACCGCGCTGGTCACAGTCAGATTTCATATCACACTCAAACCCTAGTTCCTTTAGCTCGTCACCTACTAAGGAAACCATAAAACGACAAACTTAAGCATTTAATTTCAGTAACGATTAGAATGACTAGATTAGCTGATTAGGGTTGAGCACGGACCGGGCTGGGGGCCGTGTCGGGCTGCCCATAAAGTGGGTCGGGCCCAGCCCGGCCCGCCCCGGGCCAAATGAGCAAGTCCTCGGCCCGAGTTCGCCCAGCGGGTACCCGGGCCGGAAGAGGTTCGAGCGGGTTGAGAATGGCCCGACCAAGGCCGGGCTCGGCCCGGCATGGATGCGATTTTGTTATAGGTACATTGTTTTTTAGGCCTGTTCTAGAGAGGCAAACAGATACAGGGCACGACCCGGGCCGGCCCGGCCCGGCCCGCTCCTAAACGGCCCGGCAAACAGATACAGGGCACGAACGTGTTCGAGGCGAACCGAACAGGTTTGGTTTTTAGCTTAAAGTGTTCGTGACAAACGTGTTCGAAGTTCGCTCGAACACGTTCGTGTTCGGGCCGCTGCTGCAATTTGCCCCGCATCGAACACGAACGTGTTCGAGGTTCGCCCGAACAAGCCTTCACAGGCGAACACCGAACACCCTTTTGTGCTAAAAGTGTTCGTCGAACCGAACACTGTTCGGTTCGGCGAACGGCTGTGTGCAGGGCCGAACACGAACGTGTTCGTGTTCGACCCTTGCTCACCCCTAATTGAAAATGTATCCAACCTTGTTTTTGCTTTTTTTTTTTCTTGGTGGCAAGTGTTCTCTAAAAAAAAACCGTAAATTAACGGTTTTTAAACGGACCGTACTTTACGAAAACCGTAATTTTTAACCTCGTTTCTAGCTACTAAGTTTTTTCAACAGCTTGCAACCCTTAATAAAAAAATGCATCCTGATTTGTGCATGCCCCCTTTCCCTCCCCACTCCTCAATTGAACCGCCATCCCTTTCCTCCCCTTTCTCCCACTCAACTGCCCTCCCTTTCCTCCGCTCTCTTCCGCACTAACCTCCCTTCCCTTTACACCCCTCTCTCCCACTCAACCATCCTCCCTCTCCTTCCATTCAACTACCATCTCTTTCCTCCCCTCTCTCCCACAAAACTGTCCTCCCTTTCCTCACTCCTCTCCCACTCAACTACCTTCCTCCCCTCTCTCCAACTCAACTGTCGTCCCTTTCCTCCCCTCTCTCACACTCAACTGCCCTATCTTCTCTTCCCTCCTTCCCACTCAACTGCCCTCCCTTTCCTCCCCTCTCTCCCACTCTCAACTGCCCTCCCTTTCCTCCCCTCTCCCCGACTCAACTATCCTCCCTTCCTCCCCTCTCTCCCACTCAACCACCTTCCCTTTCCTCCCCTTTTTCCCTCTAAACTGCCGTCCCTTTCCTCCCCTCTCTCCCACTCAACTGCCCTCCCTTTCCTCCTTTCTTTCCCACTCAACTGCCCTCCCTTTCCTCCCCTCTCTCCCACTCAACCACCCTCCCTTTCAGGGTTCAAAAAAACGACCGTTTTATTGAAATTTTACCGTAAAAAACGGTACCGTAAAAAACGGTCGTAAAAAACGGTTTAAAACGGTTCCAGGAGGTGTTTCCTCTTAACTAACAAAACGGCCACTTAGTGGGACCAAATTGAACCTGAAACACAGCAGCATGAAGGGGACGGACCCCTTCTTGCATGTATGCGCTTGTTGGCATGATTGAAAATGTTTTTGACCTTGTTTTTCTCTTTTTTTTTCTTGGTGAACAGAGTTCTCTAACAAAAAAACGGCCGTTTTTTTGAAAAATCACCGTAAAAAACGACCGTAAAAAACGGACCGTATTTTACGAAAACCGTAATTTTGAACCTTGCTCCCTTTCTTCCCTCTCCCTTTCCTCCCCTCTCTCCCACTCAATTACCCTTCTATTCATCCCCTCTCTCCCACTCAACTGCCCTCCCTTTCCTCCTCTCTCTCCCACTCAACTACCCTCCCTTCACTCTCCCTTCTCCGACTCAACTACCCTCCCTTTCATCCCCTCTCTCCCACCCACTCAACTTCCTCCCACTCCCCTCTCTCCCAATCAACTGCCCTCCCCCTCCCCTCCCTCCCACTCAACTGCCCTCCCTTTCCTCCCTTCTCTCCCACTCAACGTCCCTCCCTTTCTTCTCCTCTCTCCCGCTCAAACCCTCCTTTCCTTCCCTCTCTCCCACTCAACTGCCCTCCCTTTGGTTCCCTCTCTCCCAATCAGCTGCCCTCCCTTTCCTCCACTCCTTCGCAGTAGGCATATGAGCAACCGACCCGACCCAATTTGGGCGGGCCAGGCGGATACCGGGTCGGGTCGGTCGGGTCTTAACGGGCCGAGGTTTCCAAAACCCTGGCCCCACCCGGCCTTGAAGGACCGGGTCAGGCCTGACCCGCCTCCAGGTTGACCCAACCCGGGGGCGGGGCGGGTTGACCCAACCCGGGGGCGGGTCGGGCACAAAAAACACACTTACGCCCACGCTCTGCACAGACTGGCGCTTTAGCTCACCACGGCATAGGCTTAAGACCCGGACGGGTCGGGCCTGACTTTTTAGTCAGGTCGGGTCCTTATTTTGAGATTGACAACCGCGGGTCGAGTAGTGTAAATTCAAGCGGGTACCAAATCCTCGGTACCCGACCCGGGTGTCCAAGGTATTTGAATACCCGTCAGGTCGAGTATACCCGACCCGACCCGACCCCGGGTCAATAACCCGATGTCGAGTCGGGTATACCCTTACCCGTGGGGGTGCGCCTAGGGTTACGGTTTTGAATGGTCGAAAGTTGTCAGCCTTTCAGATCACAGATATAAAAAACAAGTGGGCTGGATCTGGCTATTGCGAGATCCAGCTCGGGATCTGGATTTCCACCCCCCCACCCACACAACAATACATGCAAAATGCTCTCCCAAACACCCCTTCCCCCCACAGCCCCCAACCTACGGAATTTGAGTTTTCTGGTGAGAATCCCCAAATTTGCGAAGTTCTTGCACCTTCAACACACAACGCAGTCCACATGGCGGGCTCGTGGTCGTCGTAACTCACCATGGCGGCCTTCTGGTGATCGTGAACGAGCGACGACTAAAGTCCACCACGCGGCAGAGCACTGCGCAGGGAGAACCCCAGTTGCCAGCTAGACATCAGAAAAATGTAAAACTGAGGTCGCATTTCGGGCTAACTTCCAAACAATCAACTTCCTAACAAGCGACTTCTTTCCGATTTTCAGAGACTTTGTGCGACTTCATGTGATGTGAACCTCCTAACAACTCTGCATCAGCTGCCCGAACAGCTGCGACCAAGTGTTACCACTTGTTACCAAGTGACAGGTCATCGCAGATAGGTGAAATGTTCAGCCACTTTACTGGCTGCGAACAGCCACTGTACATTTGCGACAGACAATGTCAGTGATGGATGTTGTTTGTTTGGAGGTGCAAAAACCAACCTCCTAACAAGTTTGGCGTGTGCGACGACCAACTTGTTAGGGAAGACGTCGGCCGAATCCCTCCGGGAAACCCCCATCGCCCCTGCGGGTTTTCCCTGGAGGGGTTTTCTTTTTCCCGCAGTCGCGTAGCGGGGCACGCGAGGGGCGGGAGCCAGCCACCCCGCCCATCCGAAATGTGACCCGCCAGCTCGGAGTGACGCGAGGTGGTCCCCGCTCGAGCTGGCGTTGACCCCACGTGCTCCCCCCTCGCCCCCTTTTCCCGTCGAGGAAATCCGTCCCCGTCGACGGATTCCGTCTCGACTCGACGGAAAGTGAAACGGAACACGCAACGGCTGAAACGCGCCATTGCGTAATTCGGTTTAGAGCACGGCTACCGCAGAAATAAAAGCGTGTATGTAAAAATGGGAACTTAAACAGCAATAGGCAGACTCAATGAGAAATTGGGCCTGT